GCTGTGATGGTCACGAGAATAGTTAGAAAGGTGATGAATCGGATCGCAAAGGCTTAATTTCAACACTCATAATCTACTTATGAATTTTTATTTGTAGAGTATTATATAATATAGTATTTTATTAATAACTTATAGTAATCCGTTGCTCATGATATAGTATTTTTATTATTATAACAATTAATAAAACAGTTGGTTTTTTATAATAAAATAAACTATTTTTAAATGGTAAAAAGTATTGTCAATTATATATAGTTTAATAAGTTAATGAAATAATAGTTCAACGAATAAAGTGTGTAAAAAGTACATTCAACAAACTCTGATTGGGGTGTTATTACTTTATACACAAATGGTGTATATAATTGATAAGGCAATTAAAGTCTTAAACACGGAATTTGAATATTAATTCAAATTGCGTGTAACTATACAAATTTTAAATCAGAATAACAACAATTAGTTGAGTAAAAAAAAAGCGACTGTATTCAAAATCTAAACAGTTATTGTAATAACAAAATAACTAATAAATAATAATAATAAAAAAAGTAAATTAAAATAATTAAATAGTTTAATGCAACAAATAAATGAAAAAGGTTGAGACATTTTTTAAAAATAGTAATAAAATATTAATAAGTAATAGTTAAAAATATGGTAAATGACATTTAAAAAAGAATGTTAACAACTTGAAAAATATTGTTTTTAAAAAAAATACTGGCTAATTTATTTATTAGTATTTTAATTAGTAAAATCAAAGCCAAATTGAAATATATTAATATCATACTTATTTAAATAAGATATAATTTAATAATATGGTGTTGAACATTAATTTGAATTTAATAGTTAATTATAATAAAATGCACTTCTGTTGTTTGCATAAGAAAAAATGAATGTTAACATTATAGAATAGATACACTTAGTTACATCAAAAGGTTTGGTAAAAGTCTTTAATACTCATCTAATGGGAGAACAGTCTCTGGATCATCTCCAACAAGAATAAAAGACGTTTTGGAGTCAGAGTGAGTCAGTATAGAAAAGATTTCGTCTTCAACATACTCATCAAATGACTCAAAAAGCTTCTCTGAGTATTCGGCAGAGTATCTTTGTTGATTATATTTTGGAGTGAGTGGAGCACTTAATGAGTGACATCTTGGAGTCTTTGCATTTGTATTTGTCTCATTGTGATAAACAGGAGAATTCATTGAATGAATTAAACCTAGTTTTTTGGTTTATATTGTTGGAAATTTCTTGTTAAAGATATGTTCAATTGTAAATTAATAAAAGTTTTATTTTTGTGGTGATATTTATTTACAATGACAAAACAACTTGTGTTGGATTGCGAGTATTTCAAATGCCAATAATTAATCAATATTTTATTATTATTTAACAATACAATACATCGCGAGGGAATAATTTCGTTATTGAATTTATACTCAAAATAACAAACTTCATAAATTTGTTCAAAAATTTATTTTTGTAAATAGATTCATGCGATAAAATGTTTGATGAAAATACCAAATATTTTTCATTTTATTATACTATTATATTATTTAATACTAATTATTATCTTAAAAATATTGTAAAATTTGAAATGTAAAATTAATAAAAATAATTTACAGAAAGTTGTTTTTTATTTTATAAAACAGTATACACAAAACCATTCTTAAATAAAACAATATTACTACTTTTATAGAAAAAAATATCATTCAATATAATTTAATAAAAACTTTTAGGAAGACATCAACATTATTTACATAATTAAATTAAACAATTACAAGTTTTTTTTTTAAAAACATTTACCATAAAAACAAAAAAAATTGAAGTATTTTTTGGTTTTCTTTCAATGCCAAAAAAAAATTAATTGTTAAGTATAGTTTTATAAAAACAAAGTTATAATTTATTTATACTTAAATTTGTGTTTTTAATTATAACTAAAATAATATTAAATTATTTGTTAAATAAAACAAATAAAAAACTGTTCTATTTTTTTAGATTATTGTTTAATTTTTAAAGTTCATGATTTGAAAAATATATAAAAAATATAAACACAATATAGAAGTAAACATTCTATAATACTATATTTATAAAATATTTGAATTAATAAAATAATATAATTAATATCATATTATTATAAAAATTATTTAGTATTATAATGGTATTGGTATAATAAAAAATTAAATGAGAAAGACAAATATAATCAATTATTTAAATAATTGTTAATTAATGCAAAACTATATATGTTTTTATTAAGATATAATTATAATTATTAAAAAAAACAATTGTTACAGATTGAGTATTTTTAAATTTATATTTATAAATAATACCCCTTTTTATTTATTTTATTTATAATCAGTTTTAAATATCGAGTGGTATTCGACCTTCATTATTTTAATTTGTTAAATTTAATAGCAATGCAAACCCGGGATTATAGTTTCAAAAGAAATTATTTGAAAGGTAGAGTCATTCAAACAACGTTGTCCTTTCTCCAAACGTTGTCCCCTTCGATTTTTTCGATGCATTTTCTTTTTTATTCGAAATAAATTCAAAATAAATTTAAAACCGCCATGCAACAAAATAATTTTTTTGTTTTTTTTTATTTTAATTTTTTGTTTATTTTTCAAACTCAATAACAAATCAAAACAAAAAAACAATAAATTTCAAGATCATTGTTATTTTTCTGAACAGAAACGTTTTCAGATAACCATCGCAAAAGGCTGCGTTTGATTAGAAAGAACTTTAAAGGCGAGAATGTGTTACAAAGAACATATATAGAATTGTAAATTGGATAGTAAGACCAAATTTACGTGTTTCAGGTGTGTATAGCATACCATTGTATTGAAGACTGTTGACAACATTTGAGTGTGGTTATGACACCAATTCTATATGTTAGTTGCTTCTTAGCTCCTTGTTATTAAACATCAAATTTCAAACACACAAAGTCTTATGTTTTTTGTGTTCGCTGAACCCATTTAAATTTTTACCCTTGTTATATATATTATTAACGATTGTTAAATTATAGTTTATATAATTTTAATTAACGAGTATAATATATAAAAAATTTCTTTGTATTTTACAATAATTTACAATTGTTTTGAAAAAAAAATATAAAAAAACAATTTATAACTGTGATAACTTGACCCGACGATGACAATATATCTCTATATGATGCTTAATTGGCAGTTTTGATTTTTCAATAAGTCTTGACTCTTGTCTGATCTTTTTTAATGCTTTTTTTCTAAGCAATTCATCCGATAATGTGGGTTCGAAAGATGTCATACACAACTTGATTTCTTCTTCATTAACATAATCCTCGATCTTCCGGCAACTTTCCTTTATTACTTCACATACAACGCTCAACGCTTTTGTCAATCTTGGTACAAGTCCACATGCAATAAAAGAAGAAATAATATTCTTCGAAGTTGTGACTTTTTCCCATGCATTCACGATTGTTAAAATTTGAATTGAATTGTATGACAATTCCGAATAATCTTCTCCAGAAAAGGTGGAATCTGTTGAGCACATGCGTTTTTGGCTACCAAAGATGCCAACATCTAACATCTGTAGTAGGTGTGAAGAGTGCGCTGGCATGAGAAAAACGCGAACGTTGTTATCAGTTAAAATTTTAATTGCAGATACACTCACGTGTGATCCATAACCATCCATTATGAGTGCTACTTTACCATGATAATTTAATTTTTTTCTTTTATCTTCAATTGATGGTATAAATACACATTGAAGCCACTCGTTGAACAAAACTTTTGTCATGAACGACTTCCTTGCATACTTCAGACAAACTCGATCTTTTGTTACTCCGTTCACTAATAATTCTTTTTCCACAGACAAAGTAGGAACAATGAAGAATAGCGGAAGTGATGAACCGTCCATACAAATAGTACCCAACATTGTTTGTCTTTTTCCCTCCCTGGAAATTGGCACGTTGACATTGGATGTAC